ATGGATGATGGAGACCCGGTATGGCAGGATGAGGAGCGGGAAGAGTTCTTGAACGCGTTGGAGGATATCATGAACACCGAGTGCGTCGCTTTCTCTCGCTTTCTCTGCCTTTCTAACTTGCTACAGGCCTCCGGGACCTAAGGATCATCGGACGTGGACTCATCGTACACAGCACAAGCAAGCGAATTGGGAGGTGCTGCTCCCGTCGCTCGTTGCAGCCTACATCAAGTGGAAGCACCCCGAATCGACACAAGCCGCCCCTCCCGAGTCTGTGCCTTCAACATCTCGCGAATCGACCCCCACTCCCTCTCTCGAATCAGCGCCAGCTACTCCTCCCTCGGACGCAGCCTCTGCCCCGGATACTCCCGTGTTGGATCTCCCACAGCGATGTGACTTCGACATCTCCGTCGTAGACATCTATACCCTCTCCTCTATTGCCCACGTCCCCCGGTTGGGCACTGAACGTACGGCCGAAGCCCTCGTCTCGGCTGGATACCTCGGTGCAACCCCGGAGAAGCCTACCATCGCTTTCTCCCTGCCGACCTTGGAGCTATTCCGCCGTCTTCGCCTCCGCAAGCCCTCCTTCAGTGTGGAGGCTTTTGCGAAGGTGATATGCGATTTCTACCAGGTCAGTCTCCATGTCATTGTGTTTAACTTCTCTAATACATTCGTAGTGGCCCTATCATCGAGCGTATCGTATCGCCCTATCTGAAGCTTTCGACATGTACCTCTCGATCGTTCGTACCGTCGACCTGCGCGTCGCCGACGCCCTTGGACGCGGCGACCCTGTTTGGCGTGCCAAGAACTGCTGCCCCGTGTGTAGCTACGAGGTATGTCACACGTGTTGATACCGCCGTTGATGCATTCATATAACAATGATATACAGCTCGAAGATGAACCGGACCTCCGCTACCGCCGCATGCTCGTCTTCGACGGCAACAACTCATTATCCCGCATGGCCCCTGTCGGATCTCGCAGCGTCGCAGACCAATGCATCTACCACAGCAGCTACTTCTTGGAACCTGAGTACGTCGATCGCTTCGCAAACATCGCCGGCTCTTCCCCCCCTACGTCCGACTCTCTCACTGCCGACAACGACACTGCCGTTATCTCCGCTTGCACCGATAGCTGGAAAGCGGCCGCAGCCGACGCCAAGAAGAAAAGCTGGGGCATCTTCGAAGAGACGGGGATCTTTTCCTGCGCCTGCAGGCACGGCTTCATGCTATACATTGCGGACATGGTGAGGAGCGGAGAGCTGTGAGTTCCAGTGCACACTCTCCGCATCATGCATGTATTGACTGAGGTTTGTTAAGGTTCAAGTACCCGCTCGCCATTGTCAACAAGTCGCTTGAAGATTTCGGTGACCGGATCCTCATCGCTTACGATATCGGCTGCAAACTGGCCATCACCATCGCGTCTAGCTCCGACCTTGGCCCCCGCTTCGCGTCTTCAGGCTCCCGCATGTGCGTTGATGCCTTCCACGGCTATACGCACAACTATGCATGCCAGGACAGCAACCATCCCACGGCATCGAAGGGGCGGGCCTCGAAGATTTTGGGACCATGGAGCGCATCTACAGCGGCTCCAACCAGGTCTCGATCACCACACGTCACGCATCAGCGTACAAGCGCCGCCAAGCGATCGAGATGTACTTCGTCCAATGGGACGAAGACCGGTACCTCGTAATCGCCGATGGCCTTCTTCGTCACTACAAGCAGGCGCTGAAGATTCTCACCGACGAGAGCCCTGCCCTGGATCACACAAAACGAGCTCTCAACGTCACGGATGCCGACCTGACGAACTGGCGGACAGAGCAGTCTACGTTTCTTGCGACAAGTGGCCAGGAGTCCACTTGGGACGTTCATGCTGTCGCTTACGTCGAGATGCTCCAAGAGCTGTGGGAGGTTCAGTAAGCGACTGAATACTTTGATATGAAATTGACGTGAGCTGATGCTGAACCTTAGAGCTAATGCCGCGAGAGCACATGCCACCCTCGTTAACTCCGTCCCCACCAACTACCACTTCGTCGCCCAACCCCTCGTCACCTCCGCCAAAGCCTACGGGGCTGAGACCTCTCGGACGGGCAGGCAAGAGTCGGCTCACCGGCAAGCACGAGCCAAGGTCGTCACGCTCGAGAACGACGTTCTCGCTCTCGAAACGAAGATGGGGATTTATCATCGGTGGACGCCAATCGACCAGAACTATGTTGCCACTGCTAAGTACATCAACGAACGTAAGTATCACCGTGCTCTCGATAATTTACAGCGTCTGGTCGTTCTTCGGCTCCTCGAGTTGCATAAGCTCAATGTTGGCCGGTCTGGTAAGTCGGTTTCATAATTCGTCTACCTCATAAACTAACTATTCTTCCTAGGGTACAAACTCCGTACGTACATCGCGAAGTCGCTTCAAAACCGCTGCAAGGCCATCCAAAACGCGCTCAAAATGTTCAATCAAGCGGCGGTGGAGTTAGGGAAGCCGACGCTGGAGTGGTCGCGAGTGTCCAAGTATACGTTTCTCGAGGAGTTCACTCTCCTGCGCGAGACGGGGAACGACATCCGGCAGAAGCGCTGGGTAGAGCCAGCTATACGAGAGGTAATGAAGCTCGTTCAGAAGGTTGATCGCGCGAAGGAGGAGATCCAACGTTGCAACGTTGAGATCCGGCGGCTACATACGTCCGTCATGGACGAGGACTCCCTCTTCTCCCGCATCCTCTCTGAGCTCCGGCGCGCCGAGGCACCGATTGTTGGCCCTGTGGCAGAGTACTGCACGCGACGTCGACGAGCGAATGCCCAAGTCCTGAGGCGTCTTCGGGACATCTACGAGCTGCCGGGCTTCTCAGGAACTCCGGAGCCAGGCACGCGCAAAGGATGCGTCCAGAGTGTACGGGACGCGACTGCGGGAAGCACCGCTGATGGCGTGCGCCCTCATTTATACGATGACGACGATGACGATCATGATGACGGCGGCGATGAGATGGTCGAGCAGATTGACGGGGTTGTGGACTTTCTTACGAATCTCTCTGTTGACACTCGCTAGTTACACTTGCTATTGTACTGTATTACTAGGTTTTCTATGAATGAATTTTGCATGCGTCAGAATATTACAAGTGTGACAACGAGGGACTTAAGTTCAAACAGCCCACATTGATAAGAGACGACTCTAACAACTTCAATAAAATCCAGAATAATATTTACACTTGCGTATCAGAAATTCTAGAAGATATTTTCATGAATCGGATGTGCTTCTGACGGTGAAAGGGACGGATGGACCAGAATAAAGGGAATGAGATTGGCGGAGGTGTGTTGTGCATGAGGCCTGAGGCGAAGCAGAAGCGCGTCACATCTAGCCATCAGCTGATGCACAACGTGTGTGCTGCGAGCCACCTCCATTATCAAGGGACCGCACTGTGCGTCCTGTGTCACCCATTCCCACCGCAACCCACTCGCTCTCTCTTCTCTCATGTCAAATCAAAACGCTCTCAAAACCTTCATCGTTCACGGCGACAAGAAGGAGCGTGGCCTTATGCGTCGTCGGTGAGTCCAGTACACTTAGTGATCGATGGACACGGCTGATACAATCTACTCGCAGTCCCTTCCTCGCAGCGGGTAAAAGATTCCCTGCGTTACCGTTTGCCATCTACTATCGTGAAGACCGGTTCCTCCCTGCCCTTCAGCGCATCAATCAGTTCATCGACGGCATTTTGGAGCAGAAGGACCACTGGACGGACGTTACACATCTCAATAGCCACCCCCTTCGCCTCGCCCGCTGGCTCAGTCGTCGAATCAACAAACTTCCGGCCGATTGGTTCCCGGAGTGGCAGGACTTCTATCCGGTTACATTAGGGAGGAATATTGGGATTTATTTGGATTGGTAAGTCCTTGATCTCTTCAGGTTGTAGCTATAGAAATCGTTCATCTACGTAGGGACGACTGTGCTGAAACGGTTAACGGTCGCGAATGGCGGCGGTTTGAACATGTCGACAGCATTGGCGATGCCATGGTGTTCATGATCACCAAGGGCCAATACACAACCATGGAGGGCGTTCTGAAGACCTCCGACGCAATGCCTGCGGCTCGAACACCTCGCCTCCTCGCGACACCACTTCCTCGCTCACTCGCAACTCCACTTCCCAGCTCGCTCGTGCCTTCAACGCCTCGCACGCCCGCAGCTCCTGCGCCTCCTACGCCTCGCTCCTCTGTACCTTCAACGTCCGGCGTGTCCGTAGTCTCGCTGCGTGCCGATATACCCGTCCCCTCCCTTGTTCCCAACTTCCCCGGCGCCTTGGTCCATCCTCAGCGTCCAGCCACAGCTTTCCCTCCCGCCCCTGCCCCTCCTATCCCGGCTGCTGCACGACAACCACGAGCCTCCGACGACTTGGATGCATCTCTCGCCAACCTACACGTCAGCTCTTCTGCTTCGTCCACCACCTCGTCTCCCACCTCGTCCACCACCTTGTCCACCACCTCGTCCTTATCCTCCGGTCCTGCACCTGTGTTCGGCACTCTTCTGCAGATGCCCACCACTGCTGAGGAGCCCATCCTGTACTCGCACGTCCGGACGTTGAGGGGCATCGTCGGACATGTTATGTTTCCCGAGGAGCTTCCCGTCGATGGCTATCCGCCGAGCGGGCTCTTGGCCCCTGCCGCCGAAGAATACTTGCTGGCTCACGGTTACGACGCTGCCTCTGTGTGGGGCATTCACCACGCCTTTAGGGCCCGGTCTCTGCCCTCATTCATGGAGTTCGTGTGCCGGCGAGGTCTGCCGCAGCTGGAGGCAATGTATATCTACAACCTTCTGTCAGGGGCTAATCTACCTGTTGATTTGGACGACTGATAGCTTTGTATGATCGCTTATTTCACGCTTACGACACAATGACAGTGCTTGCTGATACATCCTCAGGGTCATTACTGAACTCCGCCCGACACTAACATTTATAAAACGGTGTTTGTTTTTCTTTTTTTTCTCCGTTGCTGACGTCCGTCTACTCTTTCCGATGCCCTCCGCCGCCACTCCCGTCACTGGTGACCGTTACATCAAGGGCTACCAGCCCTCCATCCGTCGTCCTCATCGCCATCGAGCTCCTCACAAGAAGATAGAGCGAACACCTGCCGACAAAGCCGCCGAGAAGGAGCGTCGTGCCGAGAACAGTGCAAGGTATAAAGACATGCTGTCGGCCGCGCAGGACGCTGTCTGGGAGCATGCTGTTGAGCTCCAAGCCGCGTTCCCGAACCATTCGACTGAACATTACTTTGAGGCCATCATGCAGATGCCAAAGTACCGTCAGCAGGAGCTCAAGTCCGTCAGCAAGTGGAATGCGTACGTCTTTGTCGAGACGGAAAAGTACAACGAAGGTGAGCATCATGGCTTAATTACCTTTGCCTGTAACTCTAATAACCCCCTCAGCACTTCCCTCTGGCCAGCCTCGGGCCAAGGCTACCGAATATCAGAAAACCCTCGCGCCCATTTGGCGGGACATGCCGCTTGAAGAGAGGGACCTAGCTGTTGGCGACCGGGTCCAAGTCCTCACCGAGAAGCGGGCGAACAAGGCGACAGGTACCCATAGCATTGCCATTGCCGCGTGCCACGACGCGAGCAAGACGTTGGACATGCTCGCTTCCGAGGTAATTTATTTTACTCTCTCGTTTTGCCTACTGAGCTTACTGGCGCTGTTTTCTTAGTTCTCAAAGCTCGCTCCGCGGTGCGGCGTGCGAGGTATCATCGTCGCAGTGCGCAGCGATGCCGACCACCTGAACAAGCCGATGACGTACGCGACCGACGAGCAGACGCTCGAGTATTTTGAAGTCATCACAAAGTCTAACCTTACTACCTTCGGCCGACGACTTGAAGCTTGCCATGTATCCGGTGTTACTGGCAAGTTATTCTTCCTACCACTCGTCTTTCCGGCTCATCCTGTCCCCAGGCCTCGTCAACAACTACAGGCAGACGCTGCTGCTCCTCAAGAAGGACATCGCGAGTTACATCCACGGAAAGCTCAGTGAGTACTGTTTCCCCTCTTCTCCGTCACTATGCTAATATTTCAAATTGCAGTTGACGCCGCTGAGTGCCCCGTGCCGAGGATGTATTACGTGAACTTTGACACCCTTGTCACCGCGAAGTACGGGGTTCTCATCCTCAACTGGCCCCTCCGTCAGCTCCAGTGCCCCTCCGACATCAATACCACCGCCGAGCTGCAAGTCCTCATCAACTCGTGGAAGAATGGCACTACAAAGTTCTACAAGATGACGCCGGCGGAGTGGGCTGAGTGGGAAGAGAAGCGGTTCGAGAGCCGAATGGCCGAGATGGAGGATGCACCGGGTACGTTTCAATACATTCTCATTGTTGGCTATTGCTAACGAGCCCATCAGAGCAAGTAAGCGAGCCTGTCGCCGGCGTCGAGCAGGCGCCTGTACCATCGGATAGCCAAGAAGCTACCATGATCACGCAGCGTAACAACCAACCTGCGCCGCAGTCCGCAGCTCCCGCCGAAGTCTTTACGGTCCGGCAGTTCATGCCCGCGACCACGCCCAACGCCGGGATTAGCGGTGTTGGCTCCTCCGACAACTTCATGAACGCGGTGATTGGCCCCAACAATGTTTTGATCACTACAAAACAGCGCAAGCCACGCAAGGATAAGGGGACAAAGCGAGGCTCGAAGACCGCTGCTACTGTACCTGCTACTTGACCACTACGCGTATACTTACACCTGTTATTACTGTACCTTAATGCAATAATTCGATAGCTTTCTTTACTTGATGGACTTGGCATGGTGTGAAGGCTGTGGAGACTTGTATTGCGAAGCTCGATAGATTTTGCCGCGGACCTGGAGGCGTCACATCATTGAGAGCGGTGATATGACAACTCCGGTGATCCGATCTTCACCCGATCATGATTACGCGAAGATGCCCATATGCTACTAACACCAGTGGCATTGCAAGGAAATATACTACTGCTAATACATTGCGAATCAGTGCCGTGTCATATATCCGCCCTACTGTACATATTGTATGATATGATAGAGACTCCTAGCTCATGCAGTAGTTAGTAACCTGTTCGACAGTAAAATATGTATGTACAGACCTCTGTGACGCGGAGCGCCGGGTATGAAAAACGAGGCGCCAAGCACCCGCGCGGACTCTGTATGCTGCGGAGCGCCAAGGAGCAAGAGAAAGCGCTTTACAGCCGCTTAAGGCTCGCCACCAATCAGGTGCGGGCGGGAACCAGAACTGATTCCACGCGGCCAGGCACCCGAGTACACGTGTCCGCACAACAAGCGCGAAGGGAAGGGAGGGTGGCGAGACCACACTGGGCGAGGTCGAGGGCAATGGGTGGATAACCGCGGGATGACTGAGGACTTGAAGTGGCCGACAAAGAGGCGAGAGGCGAAAGGCAAATGGGACGAAGGGAGGTAGACAAGAGGCAGGCAGAGTCGAGAGGGCTAGAGGCGAGTACACAGGCAAGACGACGAGACTGGAGACAAAGGGGTGGGATGACGAACACATCGTCTATAGTCAGTCTATAGGGGAGTGTTCAATATGTGTAAGGGAGAGGGTACATTACCAGCACTCTAATCACCCGGAATACCTTTTCTTCTACTCAACGTATCGCAGGATGGCGGTTCCGAGTGACTGTTTGGGCGGTTGGCAACAGCGTGCGTGGCTGCAAGGGAGCCGGGAGGCGGTGCGCAGAGGAGCGGGGCACGGGGGAGACAAAGAGCGGGAGGCGTAATGGGGGGGAGCATGGTGAGGGGAGGGATGATGGGGGAAGGGAAGAAAGAGAGTTTAAGCGAGCGGAGGGAATTGAAACAGAGTTTAAGCGAGCGGAGGGAATTGAAACAGAGTTTAAGCGAGCGGGAGGCACCGGGGCGTAAGCGAGGAGGGCGGGAGATCCAACACGGGAGTATCCGGGGCAGAGGCTGCGTCCGAGGGAGGAGTAGCTGGCGCTGATTCGAGAGAGGGAGTGGGGGTCGATTCGCGAGATGTTGAAGGCACAGACTCGGGAGGGGCGGCTTGTGTCGATTCGGGGTGCTTCCACTTGATGTAGGCTGCAACGAGCGACGGGAGCAGCACCTCCCAATTCGCTTGCTTGTGCTGTGTACGATGAGTCCACGTCCGATGATCCTTAGGTCCCGGAGGCCTGTAGCAAGTTAGAAAGGCAGAGAAAGCGAGAGAAAGCGACGCACTCGGTGTTCATGATATCCTCCAACGCGTTCAAGAACTCTTCCCGCTCCTCATCCTGCCATACCGGGTCTCCATCATCCATCACATAGTCGTCCATGGGGGGAGGAGGATCTTCTTGCATTTCGACGTCGGTCCCTTGCTGTCCTTGAAGGTCG